CAATATAACAATATAACAATATAACAATATAACAATATAACAATATAACAATATAACAATATAGCAATATAACAATATAACAATACAACAATACAACAATATAACAATTTAACAATATAACAATATAACAATATAAAAATATAACAATATAACAATATAACAATATAACAATATAACAATATAACAATATAACAATATAACAATATAACAATATAACAATATAACAATATAACAATATAACAATTTAGTATAATTACAAAGGTGATTATCGAAAATTGTGGCCGCTGATTGGTCAAGCGATCTCGGATTATTACGCGATAATCACCTAAGCGGTTTTTTCAAAATGGCGGCGAGTTGTTTTGCCAAAGTGACAGATAAAGAAATAAGTAATTTTAAAGAAAATGCTGTGCCTAAGAGCACGAAAGAAGAGACAAAATTTGGCTTAAAATTATTTCGAGGTAGGAAACTAAGTTGCAGAAATCTGCTTAACTTTATTTCGCATAAAACATCGTTTTATTTTAAATTGCCGTACAATTGTCTAGACATTTGTTTACGTTTGTAAAAATATATTTTCTACAGATTGGTTTCAACAACAGTCAGAATTCACAAATGAGTTTGAAGACATGAGTATTGACGAAATGAACCGAATTTTTATCAAAATTTTATACCTTTCTGTAAGAAAAAGTGATAGGAATTACTACAAGAAACATCCTTGATGGCGATACGAGCGCCTTCATTGCGCATACCGCTTTCTTTATTGAGATGTGTTATATTATTTTTTTCAAATAATCACCTTTGTAATTATACTAAAACAATTATTCACCTCAGGCTCGGTGAATATCGCTGAATAAAAACCTCGACTTCGTCTCGGTTTTTATTCAGCGATATTCACCTCGCCTTCGGCGAATAATTGTTAAATAACAATATAACAATATAACAATATAACAATATAACAATATAACAATATAACAATATAACAATATAACAATATAACAATATAACAATATAACAATATAACAATATAACAATATA